GTGGTGGTGGTGGTGGTGGTGGTGGTGGTGGTGGTGGTGGTGGTGGTGGTGGTGGTGGTGGTGGTGGTGGTTTTGACGACTGTCGATAATGTGGAAGGGGGTCTACTTCTGTAGGAAAGCTTAACATCGACGTCCAAACGAAAATCGCGACGTTAGATAATCGATTGGATTCCTGCTCGCTTGTCAGTCGATGCCACAAAGTGAAGTGGAGTAAGGATAAACTGTTGAACCCTGGTTGGAGCACTGATAGCCACTCCCTGATAGCGACAAGTTAAACAGAAATTAGCCTTGCAGTAGCAAGAGCGAAAATTGCTGGTCACATGGAGCGGAATAGTGGCAAACCAACTCGAGATCGCAAATAATCAACAGAAAGTGCAAGTGTTGCCAAAGTAGTTGCGTTATCTCTTGTCACCGGGGATTGTCTCTGAGATATAAAGTTTTGCAATGTAAATTTTATGGGACACAAAGAGAAAAAACCGACGGCAGAACCGTAACTTTGTAAAAGTCAGCACTGTCAAAAAATAGCTACGAATGGCCTGTGTACCTAAAGCGCAATCAGTTCACTAGTTACTTTTCTATCTGTTCCTTGACAGATGTAGGGATATTGCAATTCTAAATAGAACAGATGAACACACCACGTACCCACACTAAGACGCATTAGGCGAAGATAAAATTTCTTGATGCCCGAAGCAGACTTGACGACAAACACCGATCTCAGGTCATCTTCCAGTCTATGAGATACATGGCTTTTAGCAGGTGTCTGAAGTCATAGAGATTTTGCGTCTCATGAAATTATCCCTTCCCAAAATCAACCCTAACTAGGGGAACTTCTCTCCTTGCCGCTTATTCACCTCCTCACCCTCACCACCACCGCTTGCCTCGTTGCATGCCCTGGCATTTGCCTGTGTTGTTTCTTTCAGCTGACCACCACCAAGTCCGATTTGAGGCAGGAGTTCGCATTTGACCAAGTGGATCGCTCAGACGTGGCACTCGTCATGGAGAAGTCGTGTTCCTGGAAGTGGATCAAGCAGGCCACACCTTCGTTGGCAGTGCTACTTGGTGCATTATTTGCTTCATTTATGTGGTTTAGCTTCCCACGCTACATGGGGCACTAATGCGTGTGAATAGTGCTGTAATTCGTGTTTATTCAACCCCTTAATCCGGTCGCTCCATCTCCTACTCAGGGCCTCCTTTTCGCAGCATGTCGCCAGCCACGCCGATCCTCAGCTCCCCCATCATTAAGACGAATATTTATCTTGGAGTATCCTCACACCTAGGTGTAGATGTTAGTGCACGTATGACTCACACATCCGAGGTATAAATACACACGCGCAAACCCCACACATGACACAACGACACCAGTTTTGGTCGAGCTCCGAAGTGGACGGTTGTGTCCACGCCCCCTCCGGTCCTTTTTCTTCATCACTGGTATCAGGCCAGGGTTAATTCTGTGGCTCCGGCGTGGTTCAAGACCACATGCTGGGACCCACAAGAAGAGAAACTTGCGGACCAGGACTGCGTCTCGTTGTGCTCGCCATGAACAAAATTGAAAACGCAGACACCCACTATGCTGAAAAGTCATAGACAAACACACACAGCGAAAACGTCTAGTGGGGTGATGATATCAGATTGTGGCACACTGAACATCATCTGACATTTTAAATTGTGCAATAGCATGCTCACATAGATTTGTAACAGAGCAACACGTAATCTTACAATGCCAACAAATGCTTTTCTAACATGCTCGTGCCTCTATGATCAAAGTAATTGACACATTTGCACCGTTCAACGTTATCAACTTGTATGCCCCGTTGGACCCTATTTTGATATATCGGCGTGCACTCTCATTTCGTGAATGTTTATTTAAATTATTTGTTGCGGATCCCCGAACCCCCGATTTACCACGTCAATGATCTGATGACTCACCGCCGCCTCAAAGCAGGCGAAGGCAAGGACCCCATGCAGAGAGCCGTATGTTGTCTCAGCCAATACGTCGAGAACAAGTTCAGATACACCGACTTATGGGTGTCCATAAGTGTAACTCAGAGTAATCGTGCACTCAAAGGTGCTTGGGTCAGTAGGAAGGTGTGCATTAAGACATATGATAAGTATAAAGTAGTCGAAATCCTAAAAAATATTGTCCTGAAGATGCTGAATGCTAAGCACATTTATTAATCGGATATGCAATGTAGTAAGCGTATTTGTGGGTTCGTAAGCGAAGGTCGCGCCTGAAGCTAATCCAAATTAATGAAGCACTGCTATTCAATGTGTGGTAATCATAATCCACACCTGAAGCTAGAATTGTCGAGTGCGCATATCACCATGACTACCAGGTTGAATTGAGCAAAATAAGCAATGGGTATTAGAAGAATGCTAAGGAGACCATAGGCAACGGAGACACAACTGCATATGCGATTAATAAATCGATATGTGATAGTGCTTGTGTGTTTTGCTGGCAAGGTCAAACATTTTCTAGTGCGTCTCAAAAGTGCCTGGGAGGCACGTGACAACTGAATGCTTTTAAACAGTGGGGTTTTATTTAAAAAGCAAACTTACAAGTAGCAGCATCATTGTCAGGACTAGGATATCTTCCATGATGGTAGACTGTTTCTTAGTGACGACAAAAAAGATAGCAAAGGCTGTAGCAACATTAGAATATAATCTGTTCGTTGGTATTTTTAACTTAAAAAAACACAGAAGTCAAGTGAACAGAAAGGGCTCCACTTTAACGTATAAATATGAAGCTTTTTTTCATTTTTTAAGGTAAGCTGACGTCCTTGAAATAAAAGTAACAATTTGTCTGTCATTACTTTTTATTTGTTTATGAGAGCCAATTTAGAGAAGAGGAGCATGAACCTCGCCAAATAATAACAGAATGTTAAAGCAAAAAGAAATTCCGCGAGTCGTACTGATTAACTAAAACGGCAAATTGAGAGCTTTAGTTGAAAGGTGGTAGAAGGATAAATGTTTTTTAATTTCATTCAAACTGACGGCAATTTCGCCTTTTCGCGGAAGCTCAATTTGTGTTAATCGTCTAGCTTAAATGAGTAAGAGCCATCATGATTTACAGCTAAGCTGTGAGATAGATAAAAAACGACGAGTTGAATGTATTACAGATCCCGATTATGTAGTAAAAACTACGTCAACTGAAGTTTCATTTAGACGGCCCCATGGTATGCATGACTAATTTTCAAATTAATTTGTTTTCCCTATTTATCAAGAGGTTCTGTCCGCAAAACTATGCTTTTTGTGGCAACTACCAAATCTACAAAGTAACTAATTATCGTAGAATCAAAAGCTTTAATCGTTAACTTACTCTAAAAGCCATGTAGGAATCCGAATTCAAAACCTATTTTTGATGTTGTTATAACAAATATCTACTATATATAAACGGCAAACTGGAAAAGGGGCTATGGTATAAATTGTAATCATATTTTAATCGTTGCAAGTAGTTAGTATGCAATTATTGACGAGTGACAATTAAGTGGGAATTCGACACAAATTATTAATGTTAGCGGTGAACAGGACATAATAATATTTGAGGTATTTAAGGGATTTTATGGTCAAAAGTTTGCCCTCCGAATCTATAATGACTTCCCTGTTTCATTAATCTACGAATATAATTTTTTGGAGGTCTTAGAGTAAGAATAGTAACTTAGAGTAAGATTGACTTCTCTAGCCCTCGTTGTACTAAAATAGTGTTTAACTACATAACAGACACAAAGACAATTTTGCATGATTTAAACAAGAGGCCAAGAGTTCTTCTAAAATAGTTTTGAATATGTTGGAACGAAATTTTACAGTGTAATAGATATTCCCTATAATCATTCATTATAATAAAACAGGTGGTGTAGGCGCGATTAATGTATTTACTTATTGTAGGAAATAGAGTGGCTCTACATGCGTAGAATATTTACTCTAGACTGCTTATTTCACAGAATATATGTATATTAACGATAAGATGCCAATATAGGTCGAGACAATTAATAGTCATTTAAAACTTATTACTCAATTCTGGTTGGGCAATTGGATTCCTTTGTTTGCCTTTACACCTTACATTTCAAAATGGCTAAAATAGCCTAAAATAGCCTTTTTTGTTCAAAAGTTAGTGGTTGTCCAGTAGTACTTCACTACTTACATAGACCGAGATTTTGCTTCCACGGGCAATGTCAAATAAGTGTACATGGACACAAGCACGGCAGGGTGCAGCAACAGGCTTAATAACGCTCGTATCCGTCATATACGTCGCCGAGATTTTCGTGGTCGTCCCCACATTTTTTCAACGTGGATGTACGGCGTTCAATTTATCCTGCCTTTTTATGACCTATGAGATTATTAATCTTTTGTACAATATGCTGTGTATGTTGTTTACCGACCCATCTATATCTTCCCTTATGCTTGTCCAGCAAGCGAAAAATGACTGGTCGTATTGCTTGAAGTGCGAGTCTGTACGCCCTCCCCGTGCTCACCACTGCCGTCGCTGTGATATTTGTGTGCTTCGTTTTGACCACCACTGTACATATATGGGTATGCCAAATTTTTCCTTCGAATATGTATAATTTTCCAATAAGGCCACTAATAACTGACCCTTCTTTCTTTTTTGTAGCGCAATGTGTGGGACATGCAAATATGCCGTATTTCATTCGTCTTCTTTTGCATGTCGCATTTTGCTGCATTTTTTTCACATTCTTTAACATGCCTTTTGCCATGCGATTTGTGTACTCCGACTGGCAATGGTGGCAATTTATCCTTTGTACATTCAATCCGTTGCCCTTCATGCTGATCAGGTGGCTATCGTTCCACCAATTTTTGGTTTGTTTGATGACATCGTTTTGCGCTATTCTTGGTCCAACTTTTGCTTTGTTTTTTGCATATCATATGCGACAAGTCCTTCGTAATGAAACAAGCGTCGAAGTCATGATATCCAATTCAAGGAACCCGACGCAAATCTGTTATGAGGATGAATTGCGTTCAGTTAACTACAACGTAGGTTGGCGAGGTAATTTGGAGCAGGTGCTCGGTCGTAGGTGGCTCGTTGGGTTTTTCATTCCTTTCGTTCCTGTTTCACAGACTTCTGATGGCTTGCATTTCCCCTCTGTTCCAATCAATGCCCGCACAAAAACCCGAGACATCTAAAAAGCGCATTTCTGCAAAATTTTTGCTTTTCTTATTTTCTTTTCCTCTGTTACTGTGTCACGTTATGATCAGTCGGAGTAAATCCACTATTTTTTATACTCGAAAGTTGATTTATTTGAGCGTGGATTCAAAATGACCGCCTCATTTAGGCATCTGACGATCACCACGTTGGCATTAGTACTGCTTGTGTTTCCAGGTGAATGTTACCGAGGATGTAAATCCTTGGCTGTCTCAGAGTATTACGTGTATTGATGAGGGGGTGTAGTTGTGTGTCAGTTAGTTCCAAATAGGTGTGATGGGTGTGACGGTTTTCAATTTCGCTCCTGGTGCGTCAAAACGCGAGACTCGTTTCGTTGATGCAAACTAGTGCGAAACTATCTCCAAGGCGACGTGTCTACTGGTGAGGGGTTAGTAAAGCCGGTGGATGGGGCGTTTCCATAGTTCCACTGGGGTTTTCCTAAATTTGTAGGCGAGGAATTAAGGGTGTTTGGGTCCCATTTATCCCAATCGATTTTTGTGGAAGTTGCATTGTATCTTAACGGTCCGATGGCAGAAAGGTAGCTTAGGTTCAGCAGAATGCCTGTGTTCTGGTCGCAGACTTTGAGGCTCTCCAATGGACAAAATCGCGTTTTGCTAGTATTTGAGTTTTATGAAATAATGCGTAAAAATTGGGACCTATAACAATGAGTTTAGCTGACTGTTTTCACAATCTCAATGGTGCCCTGCAGGTAGTTAAAACAGCTTTTAGGTGCATTTTACGAAACTAAGTCTACATGGGGGATGTAGACTGTCCCATTACTTCCAGAGAAATAGCTTTTCTGCTAAGAATTGGTCTTGACCTCTTTCAAAACTCCAAGTCGAGAAGGTACGAATTATCAAATGGCTCAGGTGGTGCACATAATCACCTAATCACACGTTCATACTTAACGGGAAGTATGATTTGCACGACAGTTCCACTATTCAACATTCTCAAATGTGAAAAAGTCGAGTAGTTGTGCAACCGAGTGATCAGAATTCCCACCTCTATGTTTTAATTTCATTCGCAATTAATTTTTGGGTTGTGATGACCATACCTGTCGAAAATTCATTGGTACAAACATCTTAGTGACCTGAAATAATACGTGGCCAAAACAGGATATGATCCAATTGGTATTTCATTCCGTTGGTTGGTAGATGGGAATGTGCAATATAATTAGCCTTTGATCCATCAAGTTTAACACGCATCCCCAAATGAGAAACTTTTAAACTTCAGTTGATTTTAATGGCCTTTTTTCTCACAATTCAAAGTTTGTAGTTCGTACGCCGCCATGTTTGAAGAAAAAAGATGTTTGGGTTCACATCCAGCCAGTAAACCAATCAGTACGGGAAAGCCTACGTGTGCCTGCTCACACTCCCATTCAAAGTGTTCCAGAAGGTCTCTTCGTTCATTTGGTGGCTTTTCATAGGTCTACACTCGTTGGCGAGAATTCGTCACTGCTCTCTGGCACATCATTGGTTACACCTATCAGTCACATGACAACGTGCGGCTTAAAAGCTCCTTATCGACGAGTTGATGGCTATATTTCAGACGCAAGAACAGCATAAGCCATGAAGCACATCACAAGTGCCTACGTTAAGTGGAAGCGGGGATTGGCTGATAAGGTCCGTCTGACGAAACACCGATTGGTTCGGACGCTTCTAGCAGAATGCCTCGGCACGGCCATATTGGTCGCTTTTGGCACCGGAGTTGCTGCACAATCCAAACTGACCGAGGGTGAATTCGGCACCACTTTAGCCGTTAGTCTCGGTTACGCTGCGGGAATGTCCCTTGCGCTATTCGTAGTGGGGTCACGTAGCCCCGGTTTGTGCAACCCCTCTGTGGCTTTCGCGAATGCTCTCGTTGGCCGCCTTGACTTTCTGAAGATGCTTCTCTTTTGGCTTGCTCAACTGATCGGTGCATTCCTTGGAACTCTGGTAGTTCTTGCCATCTACTGGGAAAAGGTCATGGACTATACAAACCTACACGACAATGGTATTCTCAATATGTCCTCCACTGGCACAATCTTCTCCAGTACGGCTAACGGCTCAACCTCGGAACTGTGCAGTAGTCAGGTGATTATTGGCATGATGACCATTGTCGGAATTATGGCAATCTTGGACAAGAACAACTGGAATGCGCCGCACTTCTACGTCATTATCTACTCCGCCGTGGTTGAATTTTTGCTCTTCGATGACTTCACAGTTCAATCAACCTCTTCTAATAACCCAGCGTTAGATTTGGGAGGCCGTTTAGCACTACTTATCACGGGTAAACCCACATCTGCATGTCCCTGTTTTAACCAACCTGAATCTTTTAATGACATTTCATTTTTCGTACCTTAGGCTGGGGAGCATCGGCATTCACGTTTAAAGACTATGCTTTCTGGATCTTTTTGGTGATGCCCTTCGTCGGTACCCTGTGCGGTGTTCTGCTCTACGAGTTGGTCATCGGCATTCACCTCCCGGGAGCAGGGGAAGACTCCAAGAATTTCGAAGATAATTTTAAAGAGGAGGAGTGAGTTGAGGTGCCACAACACTTGCCTAGAACTCCATCACCGCCATCAGTGTTGTTTTGTACATCTGTAAGAAATGACACCTTGAGATTCTTTTACACACCTATGTTTTGCAAATGTCTCTTTTTTTCTGGTGGGAAATGTGTCAGTGTTTGGTAATTTTGTAGTTGATAGTGTTTCCTGATCAAAAACAACCAATGCCAATTGTCCCAGAATGTTACTTGCAATCAGTCAATTGAACTGAAGTCAATTTAGGCTCTGTGTCATTGAAGAACATACGATTCGGTGGGTTGGCTTGCCTGCCCCTTACTGAAGCCTCGTTACCACCAAAGTTTGGAGGCATTCTGCTTGGGTGCAGTGTCAGTTCTACCTATTTTCATTAGGCTGACTATTCTCCGCCTAATTCTCAGTTTCAGAATACTTTTCGTATATTTTTGATTGACTCTATTCGTCTTGTAATTAAATTTCCACTTTGTGGTGTTTTAGCACCTCCACCTGGTTGCGTGGGTTTTGTAGTTCTGATTGCGACCGGGTCGTCTAAAGGGCTGATATTTGGCGTCTTGAATTAGTGCTCTCATAGGCAGTTGGGGTTATTGAGACTTCTGAATAAAATAGCTGTATTCATTTGAAACGTTTTGTGTCGAAATCTAGCATGACATCAAGAGATCGATGGCCAAAACCGGCATTTTAAGGAAGCGTGCCTATTAGCCTTTTTTTCAGAGGAGAGTATTTTAAAACTATGCATCTGTGACAGCTGCTTTTTCCAACTTGACTAGTTTCGGAAAAATGTCTTTCGTTGAACCAGAAACTAGCTCTTCACTGCCATCGGCTTCAGCAAAAGGCGCAACTTTCAGCGTCGCTTGTGGTAGTAGGAGTGTTAAAATACACGTAAAACGAAGGCCTAGAACTCATGTGTATTGATTTTCTGACTAGCCTTACGGCGTAAAATACCGTTCATGGTTGAGGGCACTTTAAATTTGTGCCGGCGTTCGTCGCGATTCCCTACGAATCCTCGCACATTTCTATGATGGCTGATTTTCTCAGGATTTACAAGGATCCCCGCTGACTAACCAGTTCAATTTTCGACAAGCACTTTGCTCGAATCTAAATAAAGCCCACAACTGAGGTATTTTCCGAAGCCAGGGCTGCCAAACACGACCCCATCGTATCTCCGCGCATTCTTTGAGAAAAATTTAGTATGCATAACATCAAAATCGGCCGTTTTTAAGGTCAAATTGAGGACTGGGTAGCTGCAGTGAATGGCAGACCTGCCATTCTTACACTTCGCAGTAATCCTACCATTTTTAAGACCAATAACGGTGTACTTATTGTTCATAACACCAAGTACGCAAAAACATTTTTTACAAATAGGAAAATTTTCAGGTTTTGCGTTCACCGAAGGTGCTTCATAAGGGAGCACAGCTGATTTCATCAAAATAATGAAGTGTTCTGCAACAAATTTGACGTTAGGAGCAATAAAGGCCGTTGTTAAAATAATCACGATTTACTAAGTATTAAGATTATCTCATTTTCTTTAACAGAAATTCATTCAAGAAAACGGGAGTAACTTTACATAGGGGTAATGTTGTTTACACATGTTAGGGGTGTAGCGATTTCCGTTATTCAATTTAATTGGTTTGCCTTAAATTTCGAATCTGTCATGGTTCTTTAAATTTGCTTCACAAAACTCAAAATAAAGGCAACTGTCAGGACGTTAATTTAAGTAAGCATACACAATAATACACGAATTGTAAGTCAGAGGTAATGTAGCATTTCAGAGCTGGCAATCCAAGCTTATAATCAAAAAGAATGGATTTGAAGGGGGACTCAAATACTTCAACATTCTTCGAGCTAAGCAAATCAGGTGACAAGGTCTGTACAAAAGCGTTAAATTGAACAGTCAATTGCTGAGAGCCTTGATGGGATCTGTCAGCCGCATTTTGCGCTAAAGTTTGTTTGGCCTTTAAACAAAAGCGGCTAACCAAAATCCACTCTTGGGGCACTGTGGGTTGGGCAAAGGAGACTTACACAGGTTGTCTTAACGTTAGAAACCACCCACTGCGAAGGCCTTCAGTTACCACTGATTTCCAAGGTTTGTACTCTTTGGCAGGCACAGTTAAGGTGTCTACGATTGCGCAGGTTGTGGTGTTACAATTGCGAATGTGCTCTGACGCAGTAATTTGACACCGAGGCTAGTTATTGAGGGCGTACTCGTGTCAGAGGATGAAGGTGGTGGCTGCATGTGTGAGCAGGTTAGAAGTGGTTCAGATGACGTGGCCCTCAAAAGTTATTATTCGTCTAAATCTCAGTCAAATGTGCACGAAGCCACCGATCAACGAGAGAGGGCATGTTCACATTAAACCCCGGCTTATGAAGAGCCCTTGATAAAGTCTAGCCGAGTTTTCTACGTATAGGTAAGTTGAAAGGAGTTAAATGAATCAGCACAGAGGGCGTGCAGGCAATTAGCAGTGGTCGTTAAAACCTTGAACTTGACAAAGAGTGTGTGGTGAGCGGCAAGTGAACACAGCAAACGTGAGCGAACATGATGCAATTGGTTTACGTGAAGTGCCTTCACGTAACTGCGCTCGTTCAGGGATCAGTGTAGAGCAAGGCTGATGGCTTATTACCTTGTACACACACACACACACCGCTACTGCATCAATAAATAAGTTGAACCAGGCGCCATCTGCATTTCTACTCTGCTTTGGGTCGAGTCATGTCAAGACAGATTGTGAGCCCTAATATGGTTATCCAACCGTTACCCAACCCATGACGCAGGTCCACATTCAAATGTGAACTGACGAAAGACCCAATTTCCTCACGTGAACAGTGTAGGCAAGTAAATTAAATTTTACTGCTGATGATAGTTGATTTCCACGCATAGGCCTCCTGTCTACTAATAAGAGTACTCTGCCTAAATCAACCATGTGGGTACCACACCCCACCATTGCAGTAGTCAAAGTAAGCAATCGTAAACTCAAAACACCGCTGTCAATACAGCTTTTGATTCTAGCTTTGTTTTAATACGGGAGATATTTGTACCACAGCAGGGAAATTAAAGCAGTCTCATGAGGCTAAATGAAGAATTGTGGACAGGGATTTCCCAACTGGTACCTTCTGGGGCATTTTGTGGTGGCTAGATCAGCACTGCCTCACAACTCTCTAATTAATAGGCCGCAGCAATCCGAAAACAAAGTCAAGACTGGCGACGGTGGACACGACAGTTTATTACAGTCAAGCCAACCAAACGACTGCGGATGAGTACGCGTGTGTAACAGGCGATGAGTCATTGAAATCAATAATTCTGTAGGCAAGCTTCAATCCCACGTGATCGCTGACAAGCCACTACAAGTTTTGAAGAGTTCACGAATAATAAGAATTCAGTTGCTAGTAATCCAACTGCTTTTTTGTGCCAAGCTTTCATCCTATTTTGTGAACTAAGAAAAGTCGTGCAAAGTAAAAACCTGGCCAAAAATTATCTCCTTCAAGAAGACAAACGAGGTGAACTCAATCCACTTTAAATTGCAATAACTTATATTCGGGTTCACTGGTGTTTAAAAAGTCAAGTTCATAATTTACCAAACTATCAGGTGTCTATGGATTGGTAAAGGTCGATAGAACAGCACTTAGGCCTACGATAAGGGAAGATTTGTGGAGATATTTAGACAACGTAATACTATGGTTATAGTGAGGACTTTAGACAAACGTAAAGCCTGCTAGCGGCCACATTTATGATAAATACAGTCCCGACACTCTGGAAAGTTCTTACGATAGTAGTTGAGAGCATTGGTTAATGTGTACCTTCACTTTGCCGATAATAATGCACCATTTCTAAAATTTGACGGGATTTTGAGTTACCTATGGAGAATGATCCAACCTGCAAACTGATCATCACTTATTACAAAACAGACTGTTTCATTATTTGTGAATTTTGATCATTTAAACACGAGGTAATCCTTATTGCAACCTAAACTGGTATGCAACTCTTCCAATAATTCCCACACTAGAGAATGTCGTGAATCTTTTCACAAAATATGCTAGGTGTCAGTTTCTTGAGGGCAATTTTTTCTTGCTTCACATGACTTTTAATTGCATAATATTGCTACGATTGACAGATTGATCAGGAGGAGTTAGGTTGTCAGTGACACTGATCGGTACTAAGTGACCAGCAAAATCAACTGAGTCGCATCGAGAGTGGGAAGTCCAATGGGCTTTTGTTGGGCGTTCGAAGAGATTAAAACTGTATACGGTGAGGGAAGGGAGGCTCTTTTGCCAGGGGATTAGAGTGGATAGCCACAAGTCCAGAAATGACCACTACAGTGTTTATTTTAGGGTACTCTATTGTACTGTTGGTCCGATGCACGTTAGAAGACAACGCTATTCGGCAATCGTCGAAGGCGCTGTGTACTGACACATTTTTGTTGATCGGATCTCTTTAGAATATTTTCACTTAAACTCCTACACTGTCACCGTATGTTAGCCAGCTAAATCACCAGTGGAAACTAGCTGAAATAGTTACTGAATAGCTACTCAATTACACAGCCTCATGAAGCTAAAATAAATATAGGCCATCCCGTTTATTGCACGTGTTTAAATCACAACTCATCGCAAAACAAATTGTCGCCTAAAGCCAATGTTTCCCGTGCAATTCACCAATTCGGCATATTAGCTGATAATAAGTGGCTTTCTGCACATCATAGTCATGTTAAGATGCTTGATGGGAGCATTATATGCGCCACATAATCTAACCACCTACAAAGCGAAATGTTAGACATCGATAACACATGACATTTTCAGTTTGTTGGTTTATCAAGCCTCAGATTTTGATACCGGCGTTGTGATTTCTGTCTGGATTACCTCTTTGAACATCTTTTTGGCTCGTTTAGTTCCTTCAGCACACAACCAAGGTTGAATACTAGTCGATGGTTGCTCTGACTTTTCCTGTCTACTTATGAGCAAGAAAACGGCAATTACAGTAGTTTGGGGGTTAGTTCGCTTCCATTTAA